GTATATCTTAAAGTTCTTCTAGATATCCTTAACAACATTATTCATCAATTCATACTCTTAGTTCAACAATCATTTCATCCAGAATATTCATCATCATTAATCCATAATATTCATAAAAATGAACAATCAATCAATCATCATAATAACTAATAACAATCAGCGGCCTAGCATCGAGTGTTAACACCCTAGCTTACCGTCATGCATCACATAAGATCCCTTTTAGTTGTTAAAATACCATCTTTATTCCAAGAAATCATCCTTTTATTAATCATAATGGTTTGGTATCAAAATATAGGATTCCATAACTCAAAAATCATATTTTCTAAATAACAATTGATTAATATCTAATAGAAAATTCAACTATTAGCTATTAGCTTCATTTTCTTCAATAGTGTAGGGTCACAGTCTACTGTCACTTCTGATAATCTACTGTCTGATGTTCAGAATGGGCTGATAATCGATTATCACACTCTGATAATTGATTATCAAACTTCAGAGAGGGCTGACAGTCGATTATCACATTCTGATAATCGACTGTTGCTCAGCTTTGTTACAAAAATCTGCAGAACGATGAATAATCGATTTTCAAGTTGATAATCGATTATCCATCGTCTTCTACCTCGAGCCAACTTCCGGAAATGTCACTTTTACTCACCAAACTTCAATTAAAGTATATAAAAGTGTTCTCCAAGGTTCATAGATCATTTTGGCATCATTAATTCATAGTTTTAACATCAAAATCGTGGTTTACGATTCTTAGTTCTTCAAACATGTCAAACACAAAACTCAACCAAATGAACGTTTATGAACATAAAATCGATCTATATGAACATTCTAGTCACTAGATATATCTACGGGCTTACTTCGAAGCTTAACGGAGGTTTTGGAAATTTTCCGGCGAAACTTCCGGCGACGATTAGTCCCAACTCTGGCGACCTCTCACCAAATTGACGGCACCACTTCGTTCTCCTTACTTAGAGCAACAGAATAGGAAGAAGTTTTGTGAGAAATGGTGAAGAATTTGAGTGAGTTGGGTTTTC